CACAGAATTGTTACTCAGGGACACAGAATCGTTACTCAGGGACACAGAATTGTTACTCAGGGACACAGAATCGTTACTCAGGGACACAGAATTGTTACTGAGGGACACAGAATCGTTACTCAGGGACACAGAATTGTTACTCAGGGACACAGAATCGTTACTCAGGGACACAGAATTGTTACTCAGGGACACAGAATTGTTACTCAGGGACACAGAATCGTTACTGAGGGACACAGAATCGTTACTGAGGGACACAGAATTGTTACTCAGGGACACAGAATCTTTACTCAGGGACACAGAATCGTTACTCAGGGACACAGAATCGTTACTCAGGGACACAGAATTGTTACTCAGGGACACAGAATCGTTACTCAGGGCAGACACAGAATTGTTACTCAGGGACACAGAATCGTTACTCAGGGACACAGAATCGTTACTGAGGGACACAGAATCGTTACTGAAGGACACAGAATCGTTACTCAGGGACACAGAATCGTTACTCAGGGACACAGAATCGTTACTCAGGGACACAGAATCGTTACTGAGGGACACTGAATCGTTACTGAGGGACACAGAATCGTTACTCAGGGACACAGAATCGTTACTCAGGGACACAGAATCGTTACTGAGGGACACAGAATCGTTACTCAGGGACACAGAATCGTTACTCAGGGACACAGAATTGTTACTCAGGGACACAGAATCGTTACTCAGGGACACAGAATCGTTACTCAGGGACACAGAATCGTTACTGAGGGGACACAGAAATGTTACTCAGGGACACAGAATCGTTACTCAGGGACACAGAATCGTTACTCAGGGACACAGAATTGTTTACTCAGGGACACAGAATCGTTACTCAGGGACACAGAATTGTTACTCAGGGACACAGAATTTTTACTCAGGGACACAGAATCGTTACTCAGGGGACACAGAATCGTTACTCAGGGACACAGAATCGTTACTCAGGGACACAGAATTGTTACTCAGGGACACAGAATCGTTACTCAGGGACACAGACACAGAATCGTTACTCAGGGACACAGAATCGTTACTCAGGGACACAGAATCGTTACTGAGGGACACAGAATTGTTACTCGGGGACACAGAATTGTTACTGAGGGACACAGAATCGTTACTCGGGGACACAGAATCGTTACTCGGGGACACAGAATTGTTACTCGGGGACACAGAATCGTTACTCGGGGACACAGAATTGTTACTCGGGGACACAGAATCGTTACTCGGGGACACAGAATTGTTACTGAGGGACACAGAATCGTTACTCAGGGACACAGAATCGTTACTCAGGGACACAGAATCGTTACTCAGGGACACAGAATCGTTACTGAGGGGACACAGAATCGTTACTCAGGGACACAGAATTGTTACTCGGGGACACAGAATTGTTACTCGGGGGACACAGAATTGTTAATCAGGGACACAGAATCGTTACTCAGGGACACAGAATCGTTACTCAGGGACACAGAATTGTTACTCAGGGACACAGAATCGTTACTCGGGGACACAGAATTGTTACTCAGGGACACAGAATCGTTACTTTCTGCTTCACAACCACTATTGAATTAAAGAGTATGTCAGACAACACGCAGAGGAGTGGCAGAGGAGGCAATGTTTCAGGAGCGAGCAGACGTGGCAGCAGAGGAAGGGGTCGAGGCAGCACTAGTCGCAGCCAGAGGCCAGTGCTCCCGGTGTCATCCAGCGGTCGTGTCTCCACCGACAACCCTGCCGTCATCGATTGGTTGACTCAGTCGTCTTCCTCTTCCCAGGTCACCTCTGACACCTACAGCCAACGGTCGGTGGGTACGTCAGACACAACCGTTAGTTGGCATGGCCCGGGAGCAAGCCCACTGAAATCACGTGTCCTCTACCTGCCCCTGTCCTTTGGTGTTCCCTCACCAAGCAAAGTATCGCATGCTGTGGGCTCAGCCCCACTGTACAGTGAGGAAGAGCTAACAGAGGGCGGTCAGGAACGGGGGGGGGAGACATCCGCCTCTTCAGCAGCCAGGCGAAGAAGTACTGGCGAGGAGAGTGGCTCGGTAGCCGGTCTAGAGACAGGTCTGTCTCCTGACCCACACGCAGCCGAGGGGGCTAGTAGTGACGCGGAGACCCTAATTGATGATGATGAGGCTGATCGCACTTGGCAGCCTCGTCGTCATCAGGCTATTGCTTCCGCATCATCAGGAGAAGAGGGTGCCAGCTTGCCAGCGAGCAAAACAGTCGGTGGGTTGCCCAGGAGGCAGCAGGGTCGCAGCAGTGTCAGTGGAGCCAAACGGCCACGGAGTAGAGCACCAGCTCCACTGCAGCCTACCACCACGGGCCAGTAGTGGTGCCGGTGTGCACGGAGGAAGTAGCAGTCAGCCAGTGAGGAGTAGCGGGGGCAAAGTTTCCTACTCGGCGGTGTGGCAATTTTTCGTCAAGCCGCCCGAGGAAGTAAACGTAGCCGTATGTCGACTATGTGGCCAGAAAGTCAAGCGTGGCCAGGGGCCCATGTTGGGACTACAGCGTTGCGTCAGCATATGCAGCGTCGCCATTCGGTGGCCTGGGAAAACCGTGATAAAGATACGGCGGTTCTGCCTGCCCCAGCCCCCGCTCCATCACCCGCTCCGTTACTTGCTCCGTCACCCGACGTCAATTCGCCCTCTATCAGCCAGTCAAGGCTCCAACACCTCTGCTGAGGGGAGTTGTCGCTCGTTGGCATCTTCCGCTCGTTCAGATGCTCCTTCTCCTGCTATTCCTCTTCACGGATTCCGTCAGCAGTCTTTCTTGGAATCCGTTTCCAAGAGACAACAGTTTGCGAGCACACACCCGACGGTGCAGAAGCTGAACGTCCTCCTGTCCAAGTTGCTGGTGCTGCAGTCCCTCCCTTTCCAAGTGGTGGACTCAGCACCTTTCCGAGAAATGATGGCTTGTGCCGAGCCGCGGTGGAGAGTGCCAAGCCGGCATTTCTTCGCCAAAAAGGCAGTGCCAGCCCTGCATTCACATGTAGAAGAGATGGTGGGCCAGTCTTTGAGCATGTCGGTCTCTGCCAAAGTGCACGGCAGCGCCGACGTGTGGAGCTGTAACTACGGTCAGGGACAGTACATGTCATTTACGGCCCACTGGGTGAACGTGGTGCCGGCACAGCTGCACCAGCAACTTGGACAGGTCACGCCGCTTTTGCCTCCACGTTTGCACGTCCTTGGTCCAGCAAAGATGTCCGCCTCTACCACCTCTTCTTCCGCCGTGTCCTCAGCCGCCACCCCCGTGCCAAGTCCCATTACCCGACCGGCATATCACATGTGCAGGGCGCAACGGTGTCACGCTGTGCTGCACCTGGTATGCCTTGGCGAACGTAGTCACACAGGGGAGGAACTTCTGAGTGTAATGAACAGAGAAATCGACAGATGGCTGTCTCCGCGCAAACTGAAAATCGGAACCATGTTGACCGACAACGGAAAGAACATGGTGTCTGCTCTGCGTCAAGGAAGGTTGTGCCATGCGCCATGCATGGCTCACGTGTTCAATCTGGTTGTCAAGCGGTTCCTAAAATCCACCATCCCACTGCAAGACATCCTTAAAATGTCACGTAAACTTTGCATGCATTTCAGCCATTCCTACACCGCAAAGCACACCCTCCTTGAGCTGCAGCGGCAGAACGGAATTCCACAGCATCGCCTGATCTGCGACGTTGCAACAAGGTGGAATTCAACCCTACATATGTTAGACCGCCTTTACGAACAGCGAAAGGCCATCACCGATTTCCTGATGTTACAAGCGGATAAAGGTACTCCCCTGTGTAACTTAGATGTCAGCCATTGGCAGCTCATGCGTGACACCTGCCGCTTGCTCAGGCCCTTTGAGGAGGCCACGCTATTTGTGAGTCGGCAGGACTATGGGATGAACGACGTCATTCCTCTGTTGCACGTCCTGGAACAAATGCTGTTAACAATGGCTGGTCAGGGTGCGGTAGACGTGGTGCACAGATCTCAACGCCACATGACCCCTGTGGGGGCAGGACAGGAAGAAGAGGAGGAGGTAGAGGAGGACATTGGTGCTCAGGAATTATTGAGTGAAATGGGTGGTTTTTCCACTCAGCGGACAGGAGTGGAGGAGCAGGAGCATCTGGTAGAGGAGGAGGAGGAGGAGACAGAGGACCCAGACGCACCGTGGCAGTATGCTGTGGAGATGGAGGCAGGGAGTCCCTCGCATTCCTTGGCACAAATGGCCCATAGCATGCTCGGTTGCTTGCGTAGCGACAGCCGAATAATAACCATCAGACAGAGGGATGACTTTTGGCTGTCCACCTTGTTGGACCCTCACCTTGTTACCGTTCAAAAATGGTGGCCTTTTTCACACCTGCTGAGAGGGAGGGCCAAAATAAAGTACTATAAAAACCACCTATGTAGTCAGTTGGTCTCTGCCTTTCTGCGCCAACGTCCATCCTCAGACACTGTGGGCCCTGTGCGCTCTCGCGTTCCGCTGCCATGGCAGCAGGGGAGGGGGTGGGGTGGTAGGAGCAGTGGCAGCTCCACCAGCAGCGGCTGCCTCAGTCTGCAGTCGATGATGAGTAGCTTTCTTCACCAGCGCAGTGAGGAAACTACTAACCAGCCGCAGCAGCAGCAGCATCAGGTGGACCTGGAGCAGGACCTCAAACAACAGGCTCGGGCCTACTTGGACAGCACCCTGCCAACCGAGGTAGACAATCCCCTTGACTACTGGGCAACGAAACTTGACCTTTGGCCCCAACTAGCTGAATTTGCCCTTGAAAGGCTGTCATGCCCGGCCAGTATCGTGGCATCGGAGCGCGCGTGTTTAGTGCGGCAGGAGGTATTGTAACTCCGCGGAGGACACGACTGTCCACCCAAAGTGTGGAGAGACTCACGTTTGTGAAAATGAATCAGCCGTGGATTAGTCTGGATTTCAAACCACCAGTTCCTGACACAACTGACTAAATAATCCGCCATGAATCATGCCCCAAACATGTTATTATTTTTAACATAGGCCTCTGTATGGCCTTCAATTTAAGCTGCTTACGCTTTGCCACTCTGCCATGGGCCCCTGTACCGCCTCCTCTTGCTGCTGCCAGGTCCAGAGTGTGTCATGGGTCCCTGTACGGCCTCCCATTGCTGCTGACTTCATCGCCAGACTCTGCCATGTGCCACTTTCAGGTCTCCTTACACTGTGTGGTGGGTTCCATTTTGTGAGAGGGTGCTGTATGGCCTTCCATTGCTGCTGCCTCCACCGCCACCCTGCGCCATGTGCCTCTGTCGTCTGCTCACGCTGCTGACGGCTTCCGCTCCGCCACTCTGCCATTGGACTCTTGATAGTCAACGACTATCAAGAGTCCAATGGCAGAGTGGAGGAGCAGAAGCAGCTTCAATTGAAGGCCATACACAGGCCTAGGTTTAAAAGTCCCTCACAGTTAATTCCAATAACGAACTCTACTCCTCCGTGCAATCTACTTACGAGACCCTGGGCAGGTCTGGGTCCAATTTGTGGTAGAGACTGGTTTTGTTCAGCCATGCTTGAGCGAGTAATAACAGGTCTGTGCTGCCCTTTGGTGTCTGGCTTAATGCGCACAACACTGAACGTCCCAGCGTTTGTCAACGATTTGCCGTTAAGTGATGCAAACCCGCTGAACCACGTTCATGAGGAGCCGGTACAGGGGGCCATGAATCAGTATGGACCTGGCAGCAGCGTGAGCAGACGACAGAGGCACATGGCGCAGGGTGGCGGTGTAGGCAGCATTATTCTGAAGCCATACACAGGCCTAGGTTAAAAAGCGGAAGCCGTCAGCAGCGTGAGCAGACGACAGAGACACATGGCGCAGGGTGGCGGTGGATGCAGCAGTATTCGGAAGCCAAACACAGGCCTCGGTTTAAAAAGCGGAAGCCGTCAGCAGCATGAGCAGACGACAGAGGCACATGGCGCAGGGTGGCGGTGGAGGCAGCAGCAATGGAAGGCCATACAGCACCCTATCACAAAATGGAACCCACCAACAGTGTAAGGACACCTGAAAGTGGCACATGGCAGAGTCTGGCGATGAAGTCAGCAGCAATGGGAGGCCGTACAGGGACCCATGACACACTCTGGACCTGGCAGCAGCAAGAGGAGGCGGTACAGGGGCCCATGGCAGAGTGGCAAAGCGTAAGCAGCTTAAATTGAAGGCCATACAGAGGCCTATGTTAAAAAAAGTCCCCCCAGCAGCAGCAGCGTGGGGAGACGACTATTAGTCGTCTCCCCACGCTGCTGCTGGGGGGACTTTTTAACATAGGCCTCTGTATGGCCTTCAATTTTAGCTGCTTACGCTCCGTCACTCTGCCATGGGCCCCTGTACCGCCTCCTCATGCTGCTGCCAGGCCCGTAATCTGCCATGGGCCCCCGTACCGACTCCTCATGCTGCTGCCAGGCCCGTAATCTGTCATGGACCCCCTGTACCGCCTCCTCATGCTGCTGCCAGGTCCAGAGTGTGTCATGGGTCCCTGTACGGCCTCCCATTGCTGCTGTCTCTCCATCGCCACACTCTGCCATGTGCCACTTTCAGGTCTCCTCACACTGCTGGTGGGTTCCATTTTGTCATAGGGTGCTGTATGGCCTCCCATTGCTGCTGCCTCCACCGCCACCCTGCGCCATGTGCCTGTCGTCTGCTCACGCTGCTGACGGCTTCCGCTTTTTAACCGAGGCCTGTGTTTGGCTTCCGAATACTGCTGCATCCCACCGCCACCCTGCGCCATGTGCCTCTGTCATCTGCTCACACTGCTGACGGCTTCCGCTTTTTAACCTAGTCCTGTGTATGTCTTCCGAATACTGCTGCCTCCACCGCCACCCTGCGCCATGTGCCACTTTCAGGTCTCCTTACACTGTTGGTGGGTTCCATTTTGTGATAGGGTGCTGTATGGCCTTCCATTGCTGCTGCCTCCACCGCCACCCTGCGCCATGTGCCTCTGTCGTCTGCTCATGCTGCTGACGGCTTCCGCTTTTTAACCGAGGCCTGTGTTTGGCTTCCGAATACTGCTGCATCCACCGCCACCCTGCGCCATGTGTCTCTGTCGTCTGCTGCTCACGCTGCTGACGGCTTCCGCTTTTTAACCTAGGCCTGTGTATGGCTTCCGAATACTGCTGCCTCCACCGCCACCCTGCACCATGTGTCTCTGTCGTCTGCTCACGCTGCTGACGGCTTCCGCTTTTTAACCTAGGCCTGTGTATGGCTTCCGAATACTGCTGCCTCCACCGCCACCCTGCGCCATGTGCCTCTGTCGTCTGCTCACGCTGCTGACGGCTTCCGCTTTTTAACCGAGGCCTGTGTTTGGCTTCCGAATCTGATATTATGTCTTAGTTGAGAGAGTAGGTGGGCCGTTAAATGAAGCTTTAGAATAATGATATTAATAAATTTAGACCTGAAGGCTGAAAAGGCAAGAAAACCTGCAGTGCACCAAGACGGCATAATATTTCCTGTCCTGTTTTTTGTTATGTAGCTCTGTGATTACATATAGTTTATTATACTTGAAAATTAGTGGTTTAGTATCACTTTGTGTCATAAGTTGTTTTCTCCTATTCAGAAAAAAGGTGCTAGAAAACTCATCAATAGGGACTTCTTCGTAAGGTACAAAATAATCTGCCACTGAACTTTCATCCTCTTGATAAAAAAAACATTTTTGAAAATTCTTTACAAGTGTTTATTTTGTAGGCGGGTCCCAAACACATCCCACTCACCCACTTGTTCTCTACTACAGCCCACCTAGAACAGGACAGATTAAAGCCCAAACATACTGGCCACACTGAGTCCACAACCCATGCAGAACTTAGTTTCTGCATCTTTTGCACAAATGAGTAAGAAAACCTTCACTCACCATTCTTCTGCTCACCCTACGTCTCCTCCTCCATGGTCACAGGATAGGGCCCGGATAGTCCATCAAACTCCTGAGTACCATATGACATCGGGGCCTAGGTCACTTGCCACGTGCTACAAGGAGAGGGTTAGCTCTCAAGGGTTAGCTATCAAGTAAGGGATTGATGTCTTCCCTGTTATGGTCATCCAACTCCATTTTCTTGAGAACTTGAGGTATTTCATAAGTAACAGTTTTTAGAATAACTAATCTCCATCACAGTAACATACAGTATGACAGTTGCTAAAAAGTAAATACTGCTTGGTGACTTGTACTTACAGGTAAACTTATATTAAACCTGTAGGTGCCAAGAATATCTCCTAAAAGTACACTGTTTAGAAGATATTACCTGTTTCTGCAGCCAGCTATGTCACTGGCGCATGCACACTGCACTCTGAAGGGACCGCATACTTAGCATGCCCCCCCTTCAGAGCTCTGTGCTGCGATCATGGCTCCCGTTGACATGCACGAAAGTGATGCCATTGTGGCTTGGCTATACAAACGACCAGAGCCTGCGAACCCAGGAAGAAGACCAGGTGAAGATGGAAGCCCTGTCAACAGTGACAGTTCATCGCTGGAGGGCTTCTTTTTAAGGTAAGTCTTTCATAATGTGTTAGTATGCGATGCCATCCTGGGGTAAGAATAAATTGCTTTAGTGTATGCCCATGACCAGCCTTCTCATTCCCATCAGCCTACTGCCCTCTCAGCTATGCTCCATCAAGACTTTCTAAAACGATCCTGCCAAGAAAGAAATTAACTCACCTCACTTCCTAGGAGGATTTAAGAAGAATTCCTTTCTTAAAGGGGCAGAAATGTAAACCCTGCCTACACATTGGCTTTAACCCATTCCAACACTAAAGAAAACCCATGGGTGGGAATCCCACCTCAAAACTGGCAACATCACAATGAATGGTACAGGGACCTCCTGAAGTCCATTTACATACTTCTGTTTTTTTTTCAGTGTGCTCTGTTACTCCAAAAATGTATCCGATTTATTGCTGCTTGCCCTGTTGCCATCCTGCTCTAATTGGTTCCCTTTTTGGTCAGTAAGGTCACTCATCAGTGTTTGCTGTCAATAGGTAACCCAGTAGAGCAGGAATTGATGGGGCACTGAGAAAACCAGTAGGAGATCTGGTCTCTATACATAATGCCCAGTGAAAAGGAACAAACTGTGCTGTGAAAAGGAACAAACTGTGCATGTAGGCATCAGGATGTGCTATGCTAGTGTTCTGCTGCTGTGCTTAATGAAATATAGGGATTATATTGCTTACATTTTGATAATGCTAGTTGCCTGGCAGATATAGATATCCTTTAACAATATTTTTTATATAAAGCTGCAGAACAATAATTGTGCTTTAGGTGTCCTGACCTATAAAGGCTTGTTTCAGGGCATAAACTTAACAAGTAGTGAAAAAGTATAGAACAGTAGAGGAAACAAATGGCAGCCTTGGAAAATGCACTTTTAAAAACAGTCAACAATGGCAGCTCTTATATTTTTTTATGATGGTTCCTTTCAACAGTAGTGCATTCAGAATATAAGCAGAAGATACTGTATACAGTTGCAAGAAAAAGTATGTGAACCCCTTGGGATTACGTTAAGTTTTGCATGAATTGGGCATAAAATGTTCTCTGAACGTCATCTAAGTCACAACAATAGAAGAACACAGTCTGCTGAACATAATACTACACAAACATTAGATGTTGCCATGATTTAATTGCACATAACATGTAAACATTCACAGTGCAGGGAGGAAAAAGTATGTGAACCTTTGGACTTAATAACTGGTTGACCCTCCTTTGGCAGCAATAACCTCAACCAAACATTTCCTGTAGTTGCAGATCAGACCTGCACAACGATCTGGAGTAATTTTGGACCACTCCTCTTTACAAAACTGTTTCAGTGTAGCAATATTCTTGGGATGTCTGGTGTGAATTGCTCTCTTAAGGTCATGCCACAGCATTTCAATCGGGTTGAGGTCAGGACTCTGACCGGGCCACTCCAGAAAGCGTATTCTGTGCTGTTGCAGCCATTGTTTTGTTGAATTACTTGTATGCTTTGGGTCATTGTCCTGTTGCATCACCCATCCTCTGCGGAGCTACAGTTGGCGGACAGATGGTCGTACGTTTTCCTGCAAAATGTCTTGATAAACTCTGGAATTCATTTTCCCATCAATGACAACAATCCGTCCAGGTCCTGAGGCAGCAAAGCAGCCCCAAACCATGATGCTCCCTCCGCCATGTTTTACAGTGGGGATGAGGTTTTGATGTTGGTGGGCTGTGCCTTTTTTTCTCCACACATAGTGTTGTGTGTTCTTCCCAAACAACTCAATCTTGGTTTCATCTGTCCACAGTATATTTTGCCAGTAGTGCTGTGGAACATCCAGGTGCTCTTTTGAAAACTTCAAACGTGCTGCAATATTCTTTTTGGACAGCAATGGCTTCCTCCGTGGTGTCCTCCCATGTACTCCATTCTTGTTTAATGTTTTCCTTATTGTAGATGTGTCAACAAAAATGTTAGCATGTGCCAGAGATTTCTGTAGGTCTTTAGCTGACACTCTGGGATTCTTCTTTACCTCATGC